GGCGGGGAGCGCGCTCTGTACTGCCGGTCACCCGGGGACGAAATCTCCCGGCTCTCCCGGGGACTGACTTCTTTCCTCTCTTTGTGTTTATTGAAACTCCTCCCCGTGGCGTCAGGTTTTCCTGAAGGAAGCTCTTGAGCAGAAGCTGGAGAAGGATCGGGAAGAGGAGTTGAGGAAAGCAGCTATAGTCATCCGGGCCCACGTCTTGGGCTACATGGCAAGGTCAGTGCTGGGGGCTGTCCCACCATTCCTGTGCTTGCGTGCCTGGGTTGCCCCGACCCCCTGCTTCGCTCTCCAGTCCCCTCGCATCCCTCCCTTCTTCCCCTCCCTGTATTCTAAGGGAGAGCTGCAGTATCTGCCCTCCCTGCCGGCATCAGTTCTGCTAAACCTTTCTGCACCTTCAATTCTGTGCACGCTTGCACCCGCCCTCAACCCTGCTCAGCAGGCTTCTGCAGGGACCTCTGTACCCATTGCTTGCCTCTGATGACACCTTTTCCTTGCCTTCAGGGCTCTCCTGGCTGGGCCTCACTTATGCTTTGGGTCCCCTCCTTTTCCTTATGCCTGTCAACTCTGGTTTTTGCTCCCCCTGCAAATTGCTTCTTCCTTACTTGCAGTTCTGCCTTTGCTCACCCTCTTTCCTTGCCCTGCCTGTTTGCCTCGTGATCTCCCTCTCTTTTAATTAACTCTTCAGAATTGGTTTTTGGCCAGCTTTGCACCTTTAATCTCCTCTTGCCGCTCCCTTTTGCACCTGACCAGAGAGGGTTGGGAGAACCAACTGCAGACAAACCGCCCCTCCTCTACCCCTCGAAGTCAGTGCAACAGCTGACTCCTTAATGGCTGTGGCATGCACGCTTAATCCCAGTAAGATGCTCTTTCCTGGCTGGTCTCTGCTCCAGACACCTGTCAGTCAGGGGTGTGAGGAGGTGAAATCCCTGGCCAGCAGAGCTGTTCCAGCAGGCACTCTTCTCAGAGCCCTAGCTACACCAGGTAGTTTATTTTGCATTGGGAAATGTGTGCAAGGGTTGTACTCTGCCTTGCCAATGTGCAATATCAGCAAAATATGCATTTGGTCTCAGGAGCTTTTATTCATTTATTTATTTCTCTCTAGGAAGACAAATAAGCTGGCCCTATTGTTTGTACATGAGACTGCAAGTTCTTTGTGTCAGGGCCTCTGCTCTATTTTACTTTATGTCTAGCATTTGGAGAGAGGGGTAGGGATTAGCACAGGAAAATTGATTTTTCTGGGAAACATCATGGCAGGCAAACTGGATTACTGCTTTTCTGAGTTCCTGGGAGGGTAGCTGCTGCCCTGAAGGGCTATGATGGAGACAGTGTTGCAGTTCCTCTTGGCTAGAAATCTTGCAGTCCTCCAGTCTCCACAGATCTGAATTCCTTGTTCCACATGTTGCTGTTCTGAGTCTCATCTTTAGAACAAGCTGCGCTTCTGCTGCCAAGAGTGGAAATCCTCACAAGCAGCTGGAGGTAACTGGACTTTGCAGGGGAGGAGAGCAGGGAGTGAGGAAAGAGCTAGGGAGGGAGACAGGAAAAAGTTTTTGTGAAGAGTTTCCAGTCGCGCTGCACCTGTATTGGAGAAGGTCCAGCAAGAGGGAGTTCATCTGGGCAAATGGTGAATGGTCTGGGCAGAGGTCAAGAGTACCAGTGTGTGCTGCCTTTAGCTTGATACCATTTCTGTTCATTTTGCAAGGACAAGTAAGTATTTAAATTCATTTGGTCTCATGCAAAGGGGACTGGCGAAGAAGTCCATATGCCACAGGAGGGGTTTTACTGGCTTCTCCCCTTTAGTGAACTTGTTCTGTGAGCCTGGAGAAGCAGTCCTAAGGGTGAGAACATTTTCTTTGCTCTCATTTGGACTAGGTGACCTTTAAAGGCCCCTTCCAGCCCAAACTGTACTATGATTCTATGATTCCCTGCAGCCTAGTGTCTCTGATCACTAAAATGTGAGACAAGAAAATCAAGCCCATTCAAATGACCCCATTTTTTGTAGCTGATCTGTGGAACGCTGAGCTGCAGGTGACAGCTTCACCAGCTAAAATATGCATAAGTGTACCCAGGCTTTCAGGATCCATGTAAAAATTTGGCTGTGTTCGTGGATGCTGCAAGACCTTACTGCTCAGGGGAAAAGACAGTAGGAAATTATTCCATAGCCCTGTGTTCTCTAGTCCTTGGAGGCAAAACTACTAACTACAACTCATCAACAGAATAATTAACTAAATTCCAAATTCAGCATTGGAGCCTTGCAGCCATCCCACCTTCTCTTGTGATACATGGTCAGGATGTCTCCCAACTCCTTGGCATGGGCTGCAGGTTGAATTTCTGTGGCCAGTGCAAGAGGGTGAGTGGAAGGCTGGAACGAGGGGAATGAAATTCATGGCCTGTGTGCAGCAGTTCCAGCTGAAGGGCATCTGCAAGCTTGGCTGCGGTCATGAGGAATGAGGGGGCACTTCAGCCTGGCAGATTAGCAGGCAGAGACGGCCTGTAGCTGGGCAGGGCTTGGCACATGTTGCACTTGATAGAGTTTCGGGCAGATGTATTTTGTAAAAGTCAGAGTGCCCTTTTTGATGCACTTATATCTGCCTTGGCAGAGGGTGCGTGTGCAGCTGTTCACACCCCATGTGCAGGGCATAGGGAGCAGGGTGAGGGGACTGCAGCCCAGGAGCAATTCATCTAAAACCTCCCACTTCTTATCACCTCTTCCCTTTCCTCTTCTTTCCTCTGTGCTTCCTCCCTTTGACTTAATACTTCTGGAAAAGAGCGTGACCTCTGCACGCTACTGCTGTTAGCATCCCTCTCCTGATTTTCTTGACTAGGCTGACGTATCTGATGTGCAGGGAGGTGGCAAGCTGTCAGCATGGGTCCCTGTTGCCATTTGAAGGGGGTTTGATGCCAGGAAGGAGATTTTAAGGTGTGCCTTTTTCTCAGGGGGTTGCAGAAGGCCTGTGGAAAGGGTACATGAGAATACTGTGCTATTTTCAGAGTGCTTTCTAGGACTGCGAGACCTCACAGGATTACTGTAACCTGCTGGCCCAAGATTGTGCGTAACAGCCCCATAGAATTTCCCTCTGCAAATTCTGGTTTGGAGTAAAGAAGATTTTGATTTGAATAGTACCAATGATCAGTTCCCTACAGCAAGATATTAAGGTGTCTAAATATATTAAATTACTTAAAAAAAAAATCCGCTTATTTCCAGCCTGAATAGACTTCAGCTTCAGGTCAATTAAATCTTGTTATGTCCCCCATTGGATAAACAGAAATACCACCAAAACATGGGGGTACTTTGGGTTCAGGCCTTTCCTCAGCCTTCTCTTCCTTAAGTTCATGGAGCAAGCGCTCTCTTTCTATAAGCCAAGATTTCTGGTTCCAATCCTGCTTCCTCAGAAATCACCTGGGGGTCTAACATTGTTCTAGAAATGGAGATGTTAACACTGAACACAGGATAAAAGTAGCTGTGCAGTCCCCTTCTACACAGTATTTCTGCTTGAAACTGTAAGAATCCCAGTAGTATTTTTTTCTGGGAGTGTTGGGAGTTTGCCTTCACCTGATGATCCCTGTGGCCTTTTTTGACTTGCTGCCTCCTAACATAGTCCCACATCAGGCGTGCTTGGCGTTTGATTCTGCAGTAGAAGACCTTATGTTTGGCTGTTTAATGTTTGCTTGAATCTAGCTTACAAATTGATCTAGATTACTGTGTAATAATAACCCTTTTGTTATTTGCCCAGTTTGTGTATCATGTACAAACTTGTAGCAGTGACTTTTTTTTCAGGTCCTCGATAAAAAATATTCGGTAATGCAGAGGCAAGAACTGACTTTTCTAGAACTTCGCTAGACTACAAAAATACTGAATGATCATTCTTTTCTTTTGGAGCCCTACCATTTTTTTTGGTTTTAAAGTACAGCAATGTTGATGTTGATACCATTATTGTTTAAGCGAAACGTTGTGCAATGTAAGTATATGTTTATGGGAGCCTGTTACAATGTTACATTCAGCAATCAATATTGTAGTATCGCTATCTTTTCCCCCAAACAATACAAGATTAATGTGACCAGATCTATTTTTGCTCTGTTTTTGCTTTTCCTGGAGTAATTTGCTTTTGGCCACTTAAAAGATGGGGCAATATGGGACTTTGTTCTCATATAGTAAGGCCATTTCTATTTTTCTATTATAATAAATCCACACTGACTGATTGTGCTAATTGCACAGTGGATGTGTGCAATGTGCAACGCAAGGAGACTTTGGGCCAGTGGACCTTCTCTTTCCATGTGCCAAATATCTGTCCTTCATCCTCTGAGGGTGTTCACAAAAGTAGGTGCCCACGGGAACACATCAGTGGTAGATACAGGAGTGAGAACAGTGAGGAGAATGTGATTTACGGTTAGTGGCAGGAGAGGAACAGAAATTGTGTCATTTCTGGGCAACACTTTCCCAAATTCATTTTTCTGTGGATGTGGTGAGATTGGGCAGTACACCATGGCATGGGAAATGCAAAGCACGTATTGCTTCATGGCACATTAAGTGTCTGGTTCTGTTTTTAGGAAGAAGTATCAAAAGGTGCTAGCCAGTGTTGTTATAATCCAAAAGAACTACCGAGCATACTTCTGGAAGAAGAACCTGCTGCGACTGAAGGCCTCTGCAGTCACCCTGCAGAAGCACTGGCGTGGACGCCTGGCTCGCAGCCTCTACCAGCACCTGCTGCAGCAGGAGCTCAGGCGGAAGCAGGAAGTGGAGGAGAGGAGGAGGCAAGAAGAGGAAGAACAGATCAGAAGAGAGGAAGAGGAAAGACAATGGCAAGAAGAGGAGGAGCGTAGGAGGAAACAGGAAGAGGAAGAGGTGAAAGAAAGGTACAAGATGGTATCATGCACTCATAGTTCTCTGGCACTAAAGCTGCTGAGGTGTAAAAGCGGGTCTGGGTCACTGGCACGATGGTGACACTGGAACAGCAATTGCATGAGACAGTGTCCCAAAGCCATGGGGCAGAGTTGGGGTGGACTATGGGCAACTCAAAACAGAAAAGCAGAGTGGAAAAGGAGTGTCCTGTTTCCTTTAGGAAAGCTAATTCTGGTGTCTTTTTAGCTCAGTTTAGTGTTTTTCTGTTTTGGAATGTACATGAAAGGAGGCAGTTTCTCTGATTGGGCAGAGATGCATAATTTTCTTATTGCCTTTGCAGTGGTAAAGGAAGTTTTATGTGGCCTTCCAAAATCTGGAGGGATTAGCAGTGTGAGAAGGTACCAGAGTTCATGGGTCTTGGTGTGTCCAGTATGCTGGGTCAGAGAGCAAGATGGGCAGTGCACCTGTGCTGCTGCTGCAGTTCTTACACTCACGAGAATACACATCCTCTCCCTGTTCCTGCTGCTGTGTATCTCTCATCAGGGATATGGATGTATTGAGAGATCAGGAGGAGAAAGAAAAAGCTAATGTGACAAAAAGAGACAATCTATGAGCAGTGACAATACACCTATTGAGAATCCTGCCCCTCATGCATCATTTACTGTTCACTCCATGGTTGCCTACATCCTATCCAAACTGGGTGAGATTATTCTATTAAGTCTGAACAAATAATCCTGCGACGTTTTAAGGTTTTCGTTAATAGTTGGTTACATTTCTTATAGGCTTTTTTTACATACTTGTCCTGAAGTTGCATCTTTGGAGATTAAGATGTGTGACAAGCATCAGAAAATTCTAAGGCTAGAAGCATATCACAGGGGAAAGAGATTGGCTGTGGTTTCACTGGAGACAGCAGAGTGATGTATCTGTTGGGACAAGAACTGGAGTCAGTGACACCAATGATGAACAGTTGGGTCAAGTAATATGTTGAACGTCACTGAAAGCTCCATTTTATCGATATGTCAGTTTTCAATAGCCTCATCAGCAACATGAAGCTGTGCCAGTTCAGAATGTCAGTAACTAGTTTGAAGGTATCATATGCTATGGATGCTCTCTTAGGTCTAAAGTCCTCATTGTACTAAGTAGAGCTTGTCCCTACCTAGTTTTAGATAAAAGGACCTATTTAGCTTATTTGTTCTAGAGTGTTTCTGCCTCTGCTCTCAAGTTCCCAGCCCATAAAGACATGTTGATCCCAGCATCATTGTAAAGAAGCGTCAGTGTTTCTAGGAATCAGGTGAACTGCTCATTTTGCTTTCATTTTCTACTTGATGTCAGATGGCTTTATTCAGAGTGAGAAGCCAAAAAGGCACTAGCAGATGAGCTTGGCTAAATCCGGAACTTCCATTTGACCTCAAAAATGAGGTGGAAGTCCAGAGCAATTACAAATCAGCTAATCTACTGAGAACAAATGAAAAAACCCAACAAACATGCAGAGACAAAATGAGAAGGACCAAGATGCAAAATGAGCTATGATGAACTAAAAGTTGGCATGCAGTTATTGTGCATACGCTGTTAGTAAAAGGGAGACATAAAGTAATTTGGTCTACTGTTCAACATGAAGAAAAAATTATAATGTTGAGAAAGCTGAGGTATTTGATGCTGTTTTTATTTCTCTTCCCCAAAAGCCTTAGCTGTTGGATACCAAATACAATTAGCACAGATGTGCAAGAATTCAGAACCTATCAGGGAAATAAAAGGTTAGAGAATGCTCAGATAAATCAGATACAAAGAAGTCAGCCGGACTTGGTGAAATTAATGTTTGGGTACTTTGAGAACCGGCTGAAGCAGTTTGAATCAGTAGCTATTCTTTTTCTTCTCCTTTGTGGATAGCCGTGGACTTTCCATAAAATTGGAAAATTCCAAACATATAATGATCCCCTTTTAAAATGGGAAAAGGAAGAATGAGGGAACTGTGGACCAGTCAGCCTAACCTCAATTTCAGGAAGATACTGAAACGAATAATCAAACAGTTGTAAATGCTTGATAAAGGAGTTAAGAGCCAACGTGAATTTCTGAAAAACAAACAGCATTAAAGTTATCTGTTCCTTCTGTGATAGCTTATGACATGCCTTGTGAGTAGGGAAAAGCCATAGAGGGTAGGTAACTTGACTTTGGGTAGGCAGAGGGTAGGTAAGGGCTTTGACATGTTATGACAATACTCTAAGACACTATAAGGAACGTGGTTTGGAAAAAAGTAGATGAAACAAGACTAGGATTTTTCGTTTTACTGCACTGTATTATTGCATTTTAATCAGTAAACAATAGTAGGTTTTTGTTAAGTAGGAGAGAACTCTTGAATGGGATTCTTCCGTGGTCTGTGCTGGATATGGTACTAGTGCAACATCTTCGTAATAAGTTGGATGAGGAAATATGAGTATCCTGATTAAATTTGCCAGACAAAACCATCTGGTGAGGGGCTGTAAGTATATAGCTAGGCAGAATTACAATTCAAATAATTTTTGCAAATTAAAAAAATGGTCTGAAAAACATATGATAATATTCAATACAGACATATGCAGATCTACAGTTAGGGATAATCAAATGCGCAGAGAGAAAAGGAGGAATGCCTGCTTCAACAGCAGGAAGAAGGCCTGGAGGCTAAGTTGAGTATTAGTCACCAGTGTCATGCTGTGTGAGAGGAGAAAGTAAATGCTGTCTATAAACAAGATTGTTTCTGTAAGATGTGGGGTGTTTCTCCTGTTCCACTTGGCACTGGTAAGGCTTCAGTTGGAGTACTGTCCCTAGTTTTGGGTATCACATTTCAGGAAGAATGTGGATCACTTGGAGATGGATGGAAAGCAGCAAGAAATATCAGAGGTCTGAAAAATGCGAGGAACAGTTGCAGGGATTAGTGTGTAGATTGTAGGTGGTATTCTTGATTTGTTTTAAAATGGCTCTGCTTCTTGAACTCTCATATCATTTAAGGCAGTTATTTAGCTCATAACTACTGTTAGAGATCTTTCAGTAGAGTTGGAACCATCTGGATCTCACTTATGTCAGCTTTCATTTACAAACATTTCCTGGATTTTTTGAGAGAGAGCGCGCGCACAAGAGTGAGAGCTTTAAGGACTTTTGTGACTTGCAACTGCAATTTAGAATTTGGCTGGGAAAAGCTGCAGGCCTGGGAAATAAATATTTTTGCTCTCCTGTTCTGCTTGAGGTTGAATCATAGATTTGAAAGTTACCACTGCCAGTCTGAATTTAGCTGCACAGTGATTGCTAGAGGCAGACTCTTCCATCCAGCCACATCCTATCCCTGCTCCCTATGTATGACCCTGGCATTTGTCTGTTTCCTAGTTCAGTTGCTTGTAGCGTGCTCACTATTGGAGAAACAGGCCATAGCGACAGCTTTCCCTTGAAGTACAACCATTTTGATCTGAGTGGAGATGCAGCACGTTGGGATAGCTTTTTTCCTCTACTCATGTTTACTAACAAACTCTGACTCTTACAGCCTTTACTAGTAAACTAGGTTTTGCATGCCACTGAGAAGTTACGCAAGCTGGAGTACCCAGGTCTTCAGAATAGAAAGTCCTCAGCTTAGTCATTTAACAGAGTACAAAAATTTAATAACTTCTTGGGAGCTTTAATATAGTAAAAGCAAAGCAAAACAAATTCATTGCTGGTATTGCAATAATTTTCTTCTGTTTAAAAAAACCCCACAGTTTCCTGATATCTGTCAATTATGCATGTACAACCTGATTTAATATCCACAGACGTAAAGTACTTCAGAAGATTCTGTTTACATTTATCACCAGTCTAACTGATCTGCCTTTCTGTCACTGTTTCCAATGTCCTTCCTAGTGTGTTCCAACTAATCCAATTTCCTGATTGATCTGAAAGTTAAGTGCTTGGGGAAAAACTGTTGTATCCACAAAGGCCATGCCAACTACAGAGAATTGGATTTTTACTAAATTACAGAAGCTTTTGTATTAGACTTACAACAGATACATTATTTTAATGTTATCCATGGAGGGGAAAATATATCCATGTAATTCTAAAAGCCCCATGTAGGAGGACTGGGTCTGTCTGTGACACTCATGTCTTGTTTTTAACAGAGAAAAGGAGCAACTGAATGTGCTACTCCAGGTGGCTCAGGTAAGTTTAACAGCCGTTCTTTTCATTTCTCTCAGTATCTGTGAAGGGTCCTTCATGGCTTACGCTTCGCCTGGAGCTAATATTGTTATTGTGGCAACACTATTTGAAAAAATGGGCTTTGTTCACTCAAAACCTGCAGGTGTTTGGCTTTGACAGAGGTACATAGAGTTAACAAGGTGGGTTTTTTTTTTCAAGGCTCATGTACCAGCTTGCTTCGTTCTTATTTGAAAATGTCTGTATTGAACATGCAGCATCCTTTTTTATCTCTACTGCTTGAGCTTATTGCATGACCTTGTGATGTGCTACTCTGCGACACAGTCTGTTTTGCTGGATTGTTGCCTGTAACAGCAAAAATGAGAGTGCAAATGGCTGCTACCATGGCTAAAATAAACCCCTTGTAACTGATCTAATTGTTTGTTGGTACTTGATATATCAAAGAGCAGACCACCTACCCTGAGGTGTGTGAAAACAGCTGTGTATCTTGTTACTTCTTTTTGCAAACCACTTGTTCCCCAGTTTCAGGCCAGCTCTGTTCAGAAGAGATGATGGATTAGAGTATAAAAATGTATTTGTCCGCAAGTAAGAGTCAAGTAGAGAGCAAGCAACAGAGTAGAGAGCAAGCAACAGGGTAACTGTAAAGAAAACAAGGATGTGGCTTAAGTGGGCCAATTCATTGGCTGCATTATCATACTCCTATCAGGAAGTACATTAAATCCTCTTGGAATTTATTTTTGCTTTTTCTTGTGTGTGTATGTTTTCAACATCCTCCATGGAGGGGAGGGTGGCTTTATCTTAGAGCTAAACATCAGTGAAAGTTACCAGTATCTTCTATCTTCTAATTATTGTGTACTTGCTAGAAAATTCCTGTTGCTTAAGTGTGGAGAATAGAGGAAGACAGAGTCTTCAGCAGCCAGCCAGCCATCATCCATCCAGTGATGCTAAAGAATGCCAAGAAATTCCAGGTGGAGTTTTGGTGGGGTGAGGTTGGAGTGGATACAGTCCTGCTTCATTGCAAATACCCCTTCCAGACCTAGATTCTGATGGTCAGACCCCCAACTTAGGAAGCATCGAAATCCCCAAATGTTTTAATGAATTTCTGGGAAATCTTCAGCTCTTAAGCAGGCTATGCATATATGTATTTGTGTATAGTTGCTTTCTCCTGTATGTGTGTGAGAAAATTCAAAAAGAGAAGATGGACTTTCATAATGCTTTTATCCAAGTAGTAGTGTACAAAGGGCTGTAACACGAGCAGCAGACAGAGAGGCTTTTCTAAAAATTCACTGATCCCAGTGAGCTACTCTGTATGAATCAGAAAGGAGGAAGGAAAAAAGGAGGTACCTGAAGATCCCGTAGTTCTACCTTTAGTTTTTACACCATGGATGATTGCAGAAGCTGGTCAGAAAAGGAGAGGGTGCTTAGAGTCATCTTTTTGCAGATGGGAAGTACAAGGCAAGCACAGGAGGTAGAAAGATTGAAAGATCCAGGCAAGGAACACATACGGGTTGAAGAAACTGCTTTAACACTATTATAAATTCTTTAAGGTGGAAGCAGTAAAGACTGTGGAGGTAGATATTCCCCTGCAAGAAGAAGAGAGACGTCAGATGGAGGAGATCTTAAGACTGGAGAAGGAGATTGAGAAGTTGCAGCAACAGAAAGAGGATCACATGTCTATCATCTGTGAAAACACCAGGAATGAAATCAATCGACAGCGAGAAGAAGAGATCCAGAGGCTGGAAAAGGAGGCATCTAGGGTTGCACAGGAGTTCTTGGAGCTGCTGGATTTTGGCAATTTGGATGAAAGTGTGCAGAACTTGGAGCGCTCACTTTCCAGTGAGGGGACACTCAACATTGACTGCAGTCTGGTGGCACCGCTAGCTGAAGAAGAAGTGGATGAGGGTTTTCATGCCGATGACGAAGGACGGCCAACTTCCAGTTTGATGGTCTTGAATCGGCACAGCACAAGAAACAGCGATAACTACTCCGAGGAGGGTGTGGACACAAGCCTTTCATGTCTCCAAAGGGAAGTGCGAGAGGTTGTCTCTGCTCCAGAGAGAACCCCTAGCCCCAAGGAGCAGAGAGCCCTATCTGACCCAGCAGAAAGCATTTACAGCACTGCCTCAGATACGCAGAGGAGTAACAGCAGAGAGATGGGAGAGACAATTTACACTTCCCCCCCGGATGTGGAGTCTGACTATGACCATGAGGAGTTTGATGGTTGTGGAGATGCCGGTAGCGCCTCAGCTGAGCCTCTGAACGGTGAGGAAGGTCTGAGACACTCCCATGGTACCAGCCTGGACTCCAACCGTGGCAGCCTGGACTCGGTAAGAATCCCTCCCTTCACCTTTCTGGACATTAGTGTGACTTTGTTGATATTTATAACATCCTTGCCTTCTTACTGTATGCCTGCTTGCTCTGGGTATTGTTACTAATATATAACTTTCTCTTAGATCAATAATCAGCTTGGAAAAAAAGGGAAGAGTCGTAGATAGGCTGCAGGCCAGAGGGCTTGTGATTATCCAGTGTTACTGATAGGCGAGCTAGCACATACATACCTAGGCTATTTTAGATTGTTTCCATCACCTTATATTAATGTAACACCTTTTAGGAAGACTGAAAGCAGGCAGCTTGTATCTTGTAGGTTTATGTTCTACCTCAGAGAGATTTCACAAAAGTAGCCTGAGCTTCTAGTGGACAATCACAAGGGGAAATGTGAAAGGCTGGGGTTTGATTTGTTTCTATCACTAAAACTCCTCTTGTTCTAGTCCTGTTATTGTTCAGAGTCAAGGGTTTATTTTCAGCTGCTGTGTACAAGTTAAGCTGTTCTAAGGCTCGAAGATATTACTGTGCCGATCCAGGCTGGGTCCCGGTGCACACAGTCAAGACCACTGAACCATTCCTACCGCAGGGACAATGACAGGGTAGTAAAGCTGGGCTATTAGCCTCACACTTGAAGCATCTCAGCTTAGATCCCACACTAGGCTCTGGACTTCCTGAGTGCCCTCAGGCTAGTTGCTTAATAATGCAACGATAAATCCCCGTACAGAACAGGATGTCAGATAAGCCCACATAAGTTTGTGAGGAGTTCAGGTGTGAAGCCAATGACAGCCATAAAAATAGTTCAGATAAATGATGTCCCTGAGAATAGAGACTTGAACTACAAAATATCTTTTAGAAAATGATTGATTTTTTTTTTCTTTTTTTAAGGAATTGAGTTTGCTTCCTTTGCTATTCTTTTCCAATGGCAGATTGTGACCCTTCTTAAAAAGTTGCATGGTTTTTCCTGTTTGCATTTCCCTAATGTCAGCTGCCAGCCATCAGAATTTTTTATGATGCTATCTGCTTGAGTAAAGGTACCTTCTCTGTGGGCAGGTAGTCACAGATCACTGTCAGGTAATCTTCAAGTCATGAATTATTCTGTCACAGCCTGGGCCAGTTTCTACCATTCCTCTTAAAAGTGTAAATAGAAGTGGAGGATTTTATTGGGCTCCTCAGTGAGTAAGACTCATGAAAAATCTGGTTGATACCATGTCATGGCATGAGCCACAGGAAGAGAGAGCTGCAGCTGGGTCAAGATCCCATCAGTAGCTGCTGATCCAAGAGTACCTGCTTTTTGAAACTTAATGGCAAGAGAGGGAGAATGAATGAGTGGAACAGGAATGAGACAACAGAGGAGCACAGAGGGGTCACACAGAGAGGACAGAAAGGAAAAATGAACAGAAGCAACATGCATCTGAGGAAGGAAAAGGTCTAAGGAGCTGCCTTCATTAGTATTAAATTAACAAAGCCGATGCAAGGAGGTTGTATTTAAGGTAAAGGAAATGATAGGGTAATTTGGGATTTCATGTGTGAAGTACTTTCTTATGGCTGAGGGCCATTAGTTGGAGAATAGGGATGAGTAAATCCTGTACTATTATTTCAGTAATTTAGATTTTTGTTTTCAGGGTTCAGTTATCCTGGAATGTGCTTTTTTTCCTAATCAAACCAACAAAAGACATTTCCTTGCTGGGCTTAGATTAGTGCTCCATCTTGTCCAGCATCTTGGCATGCCTGACAAAAAAAAAAAATCAGAAAAATCTTGTAAAATGAAAAATTCCCTCTTAATCCCATTAAGTCATATTTTGGACTGTGGCCTCTGCCTTGAAACAGGAAGTTTTTTACTGCAGGTAACTGGAGTTTTCTAGCCATGTCCACTGCCGAATGTCACCCTCCTTTCTGGTATGAAAATTCCATGCTCTGGAGACTCTTGCTTTAGGCATTAATGGGTAAGCTGTCAAGCCTTTAGTTTTACTGTATTGCTTTTTTAGTAAAGGGAGTATGTGTAGTTTTGCACCTTCTGATCATGGGACTTCCCTAGCCTTGTTACTTTGCTTCAGTCCTCCTGCGACCAGCAGAACCCAAGTAGCCTGTATTTCTTCTTTTCCCTTTAGTTTCTGGACAGTGAAGAAGAAGTGGATGTTTACATTGATACAGATGAAGAGTTTTGTAATGGACGAGTCACTATCTTCAATGGCTCAGGACCACCCTATTTTCACAGCTATCTCTACATGAAGGGTAAGCGGCTTTAGCCAAAACCATGGAAGGATGGGATCCAGGAAACCTGTTTTCCTCTTCTTTTTCTCCTGAATCATCATCATCATCATCTGCCCTTAGTTCTCTGTTTACTCTTTTTTTTTTTTTTCCTCTTTAAAACAAAGAGGTAGGAGGTAGATGTCAGGGAATTAGACTGGATATCTTTGCCACTAAGACCTAATTGTGCACACTTGGTATGGGCTTAAATGACTCATTCTGAGCTACAAAACTGAAGACAATACAAAAGTATTTGAGTAGTGCATATACTTCTGTATTTTTTGTTGGTTTCACTAGTTTGTTCTGTTTTTTCTCTGTCCAAACTTAAGCATAACCTTGTTCTCTCCCTCAGCTCCTTTGTTCATGCAGGAACTGAAGTGGCAACTAAGTGTCCATGAAGCAGGATCAGAATGAAAACATGGCCCTTGTTGCATGTCTGATGAAATCTTGCTCCCTTGCTTTGCAGGAGGTCTCATGAACCCATGGAGGCGGCGCTGGTGTGTTCTGAAGAACGAGGCCTTCATGTGGTTCCGCACCAAGCAAGAGGCACTGAAGTCAGGCTGGCTCTATAAAAAAGGTGGAGGCATGTCAACACTTTCACGCCGCAACTGGAAACGCCGTTGGTTTGTGCTTCGAGAATCCAAACTGATGTACTTTGAGAATGATAGCGAGGAAAAGTTGAAGGGGACAATTGATATCAGAAGGGCAAAGTGAGTGAAGAAATAAATCCTTTTGATCCCTAGTGTTCACTGTCTAAATCAATAATGGAGGGTTCTTTGGCCTATGGAGCTCTCATAGTAAGGGAAGGAAAAGACAACTAGAGCTTCTAGTTTTACTCTGGAGAGAGTTTGGAATTACTTGATAGTTCTTTTTCCAGTCTTGCATTTCATAATCCGGCAGAAGCTCTTTCCAAGCCATGGATGAAGTCAGACCATGAGGGGCTAATTAAGTACATACCCCATGCATTCTCCCCTACCCTGACTCCATCTGTTTCCTGGCTTCTCCAGGCATTTCACGGAGGTGGTATGAAGCTCACAGCGGGATTTGAATTTGGCAGCATGTACTATGCCTTTTCCTGAGCCCTGAATGCTCTTTTTGCTGCCATAGCCAGTTCCTCAGCTCCTGCTGTAAGGAAGGGGGACTAGTCACCTATTTACCATTACGTGGGCCTGTAAAGTGCCAAAAAGAGTGGCACACCTGCCTTTGTAAACAGGCCTCTATATCATCCTCCCTTTTAGTTCTTCTTCAATCTAGTCTGCTGGTGTCTTGAAGAAAATCCATTTAACACTTTAAGCTTTGCTTTTGTGGTAGATTAACTGTACAAATCTTTTTAAGGTGACCCTAAAAGTCTTAATGTGTATTAGAGGAATTTTGTATTTCTGTCGTAGTTACAAGCCATCTGAACCAGTGATTTCCTTTCTGTATGTTGAATGGTATGATGTGAAAAAAATTGGCCAGATGGAATTTATGCTTGTAAAAGGTTTTCAGTTTTGTCTCTTGTGATTTGCTGTGTTCCAGGGAGATTGTGGACATTCATGAAAAGGAGAATGCCTTGGACGTTGTGACAGAAGACAGAATTTATCACATTGTTGCAGAGTCACCAGAAGATGCAAGGTATAAGAGGGAGTTTTGTTAGGCTGGCTTCATTCAGTGCGAGTCTGACCCAACTACTCATGGGAGAACCTGGAAAACACAATCACTTCCCTTTTGCTGGAGAAAAGAGAGGTTTCGTTCCAGTGTGTCATTTTGTCCTTACTGGGAGGTACCATACCTACTTTGGGGACTCCCTGTTGCAGCTACTGAGATGGTGGTTCAGTCTACCAGTCAGTCAGAGGAGTGCTACCTTTTTATGTGTCTGTAAGCATGCTGAATTCAAGGGTTACTTCAGGAGACACACAAAACCTTAATATAAACTGGAACATCTAATAGCTGATTTATTTATTAAATGGAATCTTGAATCAAACAAAAAGTCTATTCATGTTGTCTGTAAATGATTGCGAGAGCAGCTGGGTTTTGTCCAGGAGACAGAGAAAAGGCTGGAGCTTATCAGAGTCTGTAGTGTCATCTGATAAAAATCTTCGCAGTGCAAAGCAAACAAATGACTCATGCCCTTCCGTGTTGTCCTGGCCAGGCAGTGGGAATCAGTTGTTTAAGGGCAGGTTGGACAACCTGTTCTGGCTATGCAAAGCCAAGTTAAGAGATTACTGTCCCTAGCTGCTCGCATCTTCTCCCTTTTCCCACTCTGACCAAGGTTTGTGCTTTCTCAGCCCAGCCAGTGTAACTGTTTCTCTGATCTACTTTAATCTGATTCTGTGAAGTTACTTAGGGTCTGTTGTTATTTCATTTGGGTGTAGAGAGAGGAAGGGGGAAAGTGTTTGGACACAAAGAAATGTCAGAAATAGACTAAAGAACAGCAACATGAACAAGAAACGGGCAAATGCAAGGGGCAGTAGCTGAAGAAACAGTAACTTCTTAACCCAGAACTTCCACAACGGGAATAGGCACACCCTAAGATAACATTGCAGAATTGCTAGGGTGAGTGTAAACCAAATGTGGCCTCTGTCAATGCCATATAAGTGTCTGTTCTGAGGGAGAAGAAAGCACCAACACTTGCACTAGCAAAGGGCAGATTAGCAGATGTCGTAGAGTATCCAATTTGAGAATCCTCCATGAAGTCTAGATGTTTGCTGATCTCACTGGAAGCTGCAGATAAGAATCTGCTTGTTTTGCAACAGAGGTTAGCCTCCAGATATGTCTGTAACGAGAAGCCCTTTCACAGACAAATAACTTAACTCCAAATTAACTTATAAAAAAACCCCATGATTGTTTGACAGCCATATGACTTTCAAGTTTATGAGCAGATCAGAGAGAGACTACTTAAGAAGGCTCCCAGGCGTCACTAGGACTGTAGTCCAGGAAGATTCCCAACTGACCCTGTCTTTACAACCACTGTATGGTTTTCTCAGTATGCTGATGTGTGCTCCCTGGTAAGGCCACTGTTTGCTTACAGTTCCTTGAATAGCCAGTAGAAAAGTGGATTTTGCAGGAGCAGCTGTCAGTGGGTTGGAGAACGTGCACAGAATTTTCATGGATAAATAAGGAGGAAGGAAGACATTAGAGTCTGGTATGATCAGCCCAAGAGATATTTTGTAGCATAGTCCTCAGGAAATTGTGAATGAAGAAATTTTCCCACAGGCAGCTTTCCAGGTTCCATGATCATATTCTAGAGCTAGCTTCACTACCCAAATCTTAACTTTCCGTCTGTTTTGATTGCCAGCGGTTGGTTTAATGTCCTGAGCCGAGTACACAGCGCTACAGTGCAGCAGCTGAGGGAAATGCAAGATGAACAGGCCAATCCAAAGAATGCTGTGGTGAGTTACTGTGCATGCTTAGAGCCCTCTGTGTTTAACTGTTTTGCACATGTTCTTACAGCACTTGCAGTGCTGTAGTTTATGAGCAGTATAAGAAAGTTGGACAATTATTATAAAGGAACAGCAAAGCTGATAGAAAAGAGGGTAAGCAGTGGGGAACATGGCGCTTGTGGTGGGTGGTGAGAGCACCAATAGCTCCCTTTGGTTTGAGGGGAAGATGGGGGCTGCCTCATGCAGATAAAAATGTCTTTGGATGGGATTATTGGGACTAGTCTGGGTCACAGTTATTCCAGACAGAAGATATGCAGTTGGGAAGAACAGTGTATTATATGTTTTGCTAGTACTGAGATACTAGCAAAGGCTATTTCAGACCTTCATAATGCTCTCTGGAAATTTGTAGCTCTTTTTCCTCCAGTCCTGTGGTGCCCTTGCACGTCTTGTCATGCTGTTTAGGGAGCAAAGATGACTCACTCGTGCCTTTCTCATATGTTCACTTCTACTCAAGCTACTGGAATTCAGAAGAATGTTTTCAGTTCCAATCCTATTCATGAACGAGAATGTAATTTAAGATGCAAGCAATTCCTGCTATCTGTTCCTTTCTCACTGTACAGGGAACCCTGGATGTTGGCCTTATTGACTCTGTCTGTGCCTCAGACAATCCTGATAGGTATGTACAGCAACCTGACCATCTCTTAGTTCAGAAACTCTCTAACATGTTTTTGTGGATAGGTCCAGTTTTTGTCTGGGGTCTGCAATTGTTTAAACTCATAAGAATTTATCTCCAAGCAAATAAATATAACTAAAGTCTTTAACTTGTTTCAAGCTATGTCACTTAACAGGCATGAAGTTCACACATGTATTTTCTTCATGTGAGAGTTTTTCCTTTCCCTCTTAAAAGTGGAAATGACATAATCTCAATGTCAAGAAATTGTACTCTTACCTATTATTATCACTGAACAAAAATGTCCAGCAAAAGCAGCACTTGCAGTTTTTCAACAGAGTAATTTGGGGTTAATCTTGTAAATTTATGGGAAAGAAACAGCATTGTGGAAGAATAATGGATTAATTTAGAAATCTGTACTCTTCTTGAAATCCTTGCAATGCAACGGAGCACAGACCTTTAGTTCTCAGATTGGTTAGTTTCAGAGAAGAGATTGTGGTCATTTCTTATCACTTTACGTTAACATTTAATTATTTCCGACAGTGTTAACAGGTTCAGCTAGGGCAAAGATTCTTACTACAGTGTTGAAGTAAACTGTTAGCTATTAAGTTATTTACCTTTGTGGTCTGTTTTTTTTCTCACACAGGTTGCCAGGACTTCGGGGTTACTAGTTTACAAAACGCTTATCTCAGTAGCAAACTTAAGATTTCGTTGATCTTTTAGCCAGCTCTCAGCCTGGGCCCCTCATAGTAAAAAACTAGGCACAAATAGTAAGCTGAAGAGTCAAAATTTGTTCATGCATCTGCTGAGATGCATTCTTCTGGAGTATCAATGTTTGAATGAACGTTAAACAAATTCCAAGGAGAATGCTTATTTTTCAGCCAAAGTTTTTATGCTGCTTATTTTTATCTTCCATAGGTTTATGCAATGGCCAGACAGTTGCTTGATTTGCACCTTTTTACCTTTTCATAATTGTAATTCTACTTTTCAGTGTCTTTTTTCTCCTAGAAATCCATGTTTGCCTTTAAAGCTTTCTGAGTCTATCCTCTTGGAACTGGTCATATTTTTTTTTTCCGTTTTCTTGTAAAGCATCAGTTCTGTGCAGAATTGTGAATATTCTTTTCATAGGACACATTTGTTGCAAGAGAAGGACAAAGTCATCTAGGAGCAACATAACAGTTTTCCCTCTGTTTTGTCAGGATCAGCTCATCCTTTTTAAAACCAATCTCAAACCCATTTTAGCTGACCCTGCTGGGACCTACGCTTGCTACTGCGTCACTAGTTTTAATAAGTACGAGGAGAATGGCTGTACTAGCTCAGCCCAGTGGTACTAGCACTAGCTCATTCCAGTCAGAGGGCAGAACAAAGTCCTTTGCTTATGAACCCAGGACATTTTACAGCTGGTCATTAGCTAATTAATGTTTTCTTGTCTTTGGAAATAGCTTTTGAAAGCTAAAATTTATCTGGTCTCTGCATTCATCAGTTTGTAGGAGATACTCTTAAGTCTTTCTACACTTCTCTGTAGTTTGCATTCAGAAAATCTTTATGCATTGTTTATGGGAAGGTAGAGGACGTGGCTTTTGGTGTGCGATGAGTTGAGATATTTGTATGGCTATGACCAATTTTAATGCTTCTGTTTTCTGGCAGACCAAATTCTTTTGTGATCATCACAGCAAATAGAGTGATACACTGCAACAGTGACACCCCTGAGGAGATGCATCACTGGATCTCCCTGCTGCAGAAACCAAAAGGCGAATCTAAGGTTGATGGCCAGGAATTCCTTGTAAGAGGTAAAAGAACATGCATGCAATTACAACACGTGAAATTCATCTTCCATTTATAGTCTGAGGGGGACGTTTGATTGTAGCTAATCCAATCTAGGGTTTAGCTGCTCCTCAAAGATAATCATTCTCTGTCCTTTTCCACCTTCCTGCCCACTGCTTGCTTCATCCTGTGTTGTCCTGGCACTGCCTCTTATCTGATTCTCTGTCAGGAAGATTCAGAAAGCTAAAGGTGGCAAAAAATACCTACTTCTTTATATGTTTAGTTTTCTGATGTTAGTTCCATAGCCTATTTCAACATGTTCCAGCAAATGCCATCAGGGAATAGGAGAGAGCATGGCTGCTGTTTAGGAGCAGCTGGCTTAGACTGACTATAACATGACACTGCAGCTTTTGTTTTCAGAAAGCTCTGTTCCTTCTGACACCTGTCGTGTAGAGAGGGAGGGAGAGATATCTTTGTGGGATTGCTGCTGTCCTCAGCTAAAACAAACTAACCTGATTATGGTAGACATAGTGAGGCGAGAATAATTTTCTGAGGCTGAGCAGAAGATTTAAATTACGTCTGCAAGTTAGAGCTTAGTTGGAGATGGAGCAGCTGATGCGTGAGTAGTGATCACATACATATTACAAAATATTCCCCCATTTGTCTCAAATATTTTAAAATTTCTTTAGTACTTTCAGCTCATCACATGGTCTTAAATACAAGAAAACACACCTGATCCAATCTGTGGAAAGCAAGTGCATGTGCAAATTGCCTCACATCTTCCAGAAGGTATCTATGAGGGAATAAAGGTCTGAGAGTGGTCACAGCAAGGCAGGAGGACAGAAAGAAAAAGGTGTCTTATATAAAAGTGTCACCAAAAAAGTGACATAAGCCTTCCATCCTGGTCTTAAACATTTCAACGAGATTGAATGATATAAAGCAGATTATCAGACAACAGCTTGAGTACCTTAAATTCAATATACTTGGAAGGCAACAGTTCCTTTTATCTCATATTGTCCATTAGTTAAAGAAAAAAAGGAATGCTCCTTTGTAAATTCAATGTATGTTCTGCATTTCACAGCAAGATATCTGTGTGACAGTGGTATAGCCACAAAGGCATATATTTGGGAAGGTCTGTCTCTTTATCTTTTCTTTTTATGGAGCCTCTGGGCTCAGTGATGAGCCCATATTCTTTGAACTTTTTGCCTTGTGGGTGGACATGGCTTTTTACAGCTCTGAATAGAAAATTGTCTTTTTGACAACTTCAGCAATGCAGACTGCCATTTTTTATAATACTGAATTTTCTTTGCCTTTTTTTTCTTCTTTTGTGGGGAATCTAAAATCAGAGAGAAATTTATTTTTCCTGACCGTGGGAGGAAGAAATGCATTGTAATGCTTAAAGACCTTTCTATTAGAAGACATGTATCACCAAACCTTTTCCACTGAGGTTTGGATAGGCATTTGGCATGTCTTTGGAAGAATGAATTGTAAATTATTTATTCAGATGTTTGTGACTTGTGAGGAAAGCATCTTGAATAGAGGGTGCCCTCATGGCAGTGGCAAACTAAACCACAGATAACTGATAAAAAATACATAGGACTGAAGGATAGAACAGCTCTGTGGAAAACTTTGGGCTAATTTCTTAACAGTGACTGTGCAGGGTACTGCTATAGCCAGTAAAGCAGAGCTGGCAGGTCCCAGCATGAGCCTGTTGCAGAGAGTGGAGTTCTGGTCCCAGAGTTAGAGAGCCACCAGGCAAGAGACTGGATTGCTGTGGTGGTGAAAGCATTGACATGTTTGTGTTCCTATGCTAGGCTGGCTTCATAAAGAGGTTCAGAGCAGCAACAAGATGTCCTCTCTGAAGATGAAGAAACGCTGGTTTGTTCTGACAAACACTGCCCTCGATTACTATAAGTCATCTGAGCGCACAGCTGCCAAGCTTGGCACGCTTGTGCTCAATAGCCTCTGCTCTGTAGTGCAGCCTGATGAGAGGGTCTTCAAAGACACAGGTAAGAGGAAAAAAGTGGTAATGAGTAGACTTTCCATGTGTGGAGTTGCCTGCAGAGGGGATGGTGCAGGAATGTAATGGTGTGTCATGTTCAGAGGTAGTCTTGATGTTATCTGAGGCTCTGTGTCTGGCTGCAAACATCTTTCCCCACAGAAACTGTAGGAGACTTGCAAAGGGCCAGGGAATAGTGTGCAAGTGGCGCCGATTCCCTCACACCTGACAAGAGATACACAGTGCTTATGTTTTTTTCACTGAGTAGTGTCACTATTTATCTAAGTGTTTCCCAAATTTGGGAAAGGGGTATGAGTTCTTAAAGTTGAAATGTAAATACTGATTAACACTGTAATTACCAGTACATCTCCATAAATAGCTGTCACTTTGTAGCATGACCTACATTTGACTTTGGGGTCAGTGTTACTCTCTTAAATAACAGCAATGGCATACACTAAGTCTTTTTTGTAGCATCACGTGACTTTTTAGAACCAACAGATGACAAGGGCCTATGCTTGCTTTTTGTGCAGTGTGACACAGTTCTGGGAAGGCAGGATCTAGCATGATCCTCCATTGGGATGGACCTGGGATTATAAGGCAAAGGGTGAATCCCATTGATAAAGAAGGTGAAGCTTAGAACAAGTTTTGAAATACTGGACGTTTGAATACTGGAGTCACCTGGGATGTTTTTAAAAAGGGCTGGAAGCAAACTGGAAACTGCAAGCGTGTAGTAAAGTGAGATGAGAGGAGATTTATTCTGCTCACTCACAAGAAATTGTCCATGTTTTTGGTCTCAACAGATGTCTAGGGCTGCCTTCAGCAGAGTGAATTGTCATCTCCCTGACCTGTTCTCTCAGTTTTATGTCAAACATAATGGCCTCAAGTTGTGCCAGAGGAGGTTTAGATTGGATATTAGGAAATATTTCTTCACTGAAAGAGTGGTCAGGCATTGGAACAGGCTACCCAAGCAAGTGGTGGAGTCGCCGTCACTGGAGGCATTCAAAAAACGTGTAGACATGGCACTTTGGGACATGGTTTAGTGGGCATGGTGGTGTTGGGTTGATGGTTGGACTTGATGATCTTAGAGGTCCTTTCCAACCTTAATGATTCTATGTTATTTTTAAAAGTTACGAGAATTGATTTGGCAATCTGACTGGGTGCTGTGTGTAGAGTGGTCATTTTCTGAGTGATTAATAGCACGGTGTAGCCCAAACCCTGTCTGTGAAAGTGAGCTGCCTGGTTGGCAGGGAAGTATTCGTGTTACACTGTGAGATACTTGTATCTTGGAAAGCTGTCTTTGTGCCAAAACCTTGACTGGGACCTACCTGCTGATAAATAGTTTTGGGAATGGGGGATGTCAATTTTAACCAGACACACCAGATGTTATTATCAGAGCAGCAAGGGTTTTCCCCAGCCACATGCTAGAGACAAAAAGAGAAGATAAAATGGAAGCAAGTTTCACCTTCCAGCTTCTTTGTGTCTCCACAGGCTATTGGAACATCATTGTCCATGGGCGAAAGCACTCGTACAGACTGTACACAAAGCTGCTGAATGAAGCTATGCGCTGGGCCTCTGCCATTCAAGGTGTCATTGACAGCAAAGTTCCCATAGAAACACCTACACAGCAACTCATTCGTGACATCAGGGTAGGTGGCATCGTGCTAATTCCCAAGTGAGCTGGAGCAGCTAGATCACTACTGGCCTTACCCAGTCATTGCTGAGAATCTGGCAAGAAATGGAGTTGCTGTCTTAGGGGAGAAAAGAAAAATAAATTATTTCTTAGAAATCTAAATAATTGTGCAACTAAATAATCAAATCTTAATGTGAATTTTATTTTGGATTAGCATGTTAACTGATCTGTGTAAGTTTAGGCTACAGCTGCTGTGTAATTATGAATTGCATGCAGGATTACACCGTTGAGCATTTGCAAATCCCTTCTGCATCCTTTCATCTCCCTAAGCATCCTCTGAACACAAATATAAAAATTTCCATTCCTACCAGCCATGTGACTTTGCTGTACACTAAAGTCCTCTTCGCACCTTGGGCTTGTGTGTAAATAGCAGAGTAAAGGGTAGAAAGAAAATATCCTTCAAAAAAGCAGGACTTCTGCCACTGTATCAGGAGTAATGTTTGAAAAGGCTTCTTTCCAGAAACTCTGGCAAATTAAATTCAGAATCTTATTAGAAGACAGACCAATGCATATTTCGGAAGAAATTTATATGTAAACATATACTTTGTGATGAACTCTAACCTAGATGTGAATAGATAGTAACTATTCAGGAAGAAAGAGCTGGGAGTGATTTAGAGAATCTTGGAAAACTTCAGCTCAGGGTTCAAGGCCAAATGGAACGTTAAGTATTGCTAGGGAAGGAATATAGGACAAAATATGGAAGAATGTGATGCCAGCGTGTGTGATAGTGACAGGCCCAGATTTTGAACACCATGTGCATTTTGGTTGTCTGTTCTGGTGTTGTAGTTGTAGTACAACCAGACAAATTCAGGGAGGACAGGCTCATTATTACATACTAAACGTGGCGGATCTGTGGTCAGAAAGTCCATTAACCATCTGCTGTTGAAAGTTTGAAGGATATACCAGGGAGGAATCGTGCCATACGTGCCTGTTACATGTCTGCATTACGAATCAGTCGCAATCCACATTTGAAGTTAAGATCCTGTGCTTGGTGACCTTTGGTATGACCCAGCATGGCTATTCTTATGTTGAATTTTCAGAAATAATGTACAGAGTAATTTTAATATGTGAGTTATGTTTTGGTTGTCTAGTCCCTCTATGGACCTCCAGAAACTTAATAAAGGTGGTTCAGCTTGAACTTAAATGTTCAAGGACATCCTGTGAAAGACTATCCCCATTTGAGGATAATTCTTTTAATTTTTTCAGGAAAACAGCACGAACTTTGAAGTAGTGGAACAGACATATAGGAGGAACCCAATCTTGCGATATACCCAGCACCCTTTGCATTCCCCATTGCTCCCACTACCGTATGGAGATGTTAGTGTCAACTGTAAGTATTTTACCGATGTGACTGAATCTGCTCACATTTTGAGCATCAGTGTGGAGCGTGAGCACCATAAAAGTGGTCTGTAAGCTCTCTCTATGCAGGTAGAGTTCATTTGGGGCAGCATAGCCCACAGGTTTCAGAGAGAGGGAGCAGTCCCTTTCTTCTACCCGAAATGTATTCTGTGTCCACTGCCTTGTATCTTAGGAACACACTGAATCTTAAAGTAAATGGGGGCAGATAGTTTATCATCCATCTGGGGGATGTGCAGCCTGTCATGCTTGTGCTGCAGTTGGGTTACAAATGGCTCCAGTGCAACTCTTACAACATAATGACCTCATGCAACTGGCAGTGGGATAGTGTTCATACAGAAGCCACTGTAAAATCAGACTAAATGAATCCTTTCTTCAAATGCTTCAGTAACATGAAAGAGCTAGACTGTTTGATAGGCCACCAGAAAACCAAAGTGACTTGCTGATGATGCCAGACTGTTTGGCATACTAGAACTGAAAGCTGCTGCTGAAGATCTGTAGAAGAATCTCTAATGTGAAGCGACTGGGCCACAAAATCTTTTCAGAAATTACTTTCAATCTTGATATGCAAAGCAATGTATATGGGAAGAACAGTCTGCCACATAGGCAACGATGGGGCTGAGTGATCTGGTTCTGCTTGGGGAAGTGAACACATTTACATAGCTATATGAAAATGTCAACTCTTGTGCTGAACACAGAAACAAAACACCTAATGCAAGGTTTTGAAAGCTTAGAAAGGGAAAAAGAAGGTCTTTGTGCGACTGTATTGATGTATCATGCACCTGTATCTTGAATATGGGATGCAGTTTGGCCTTCCACATTTTAACAAAGATACAGGAGAAGTAAAAACCTACCCAAAGATAATCAAAGGCATAGAAAAACTTGTCTACAATTATGAGACTAAATAGAGAAGGACTCTTCAGCCTCAGAAAGAGGTTTTTAGGGCTAGAGGACTGTCATGGAGAAAGTGAAAGGGGAGTGGCTGCTCACTGTCTCTCAAAATACAAGGATCAAATTAACTGGCAGATTAAAAGCACAGAAAAATTCTGAAATACAGAAAAATTACAGAGCAAGTACTTACACTGTGGAACTTATTGCTACAGGGCTGTGTATTTGTATTGTACAATTAATGCATGGCCACTGGGGAAGCAATGGCTGTATAGGAGACTCAGAAGGACCGACAGCCCCTGAGATGTGCAAAGGAGAATGCAAGCCTGCAGCAGTGTGGTAGTATCAAAGACTTCAGAGCAATTCAAAGCAGACATTTAGGTGCTTAAAGAATGTAACCAGTGTTCCTGTAGGCATTTTAAACCTAAACAATAGATAAAAGCTGCGTCTGTGGTACAGCAATTGGGCAAAATCCTGTGTTGGCTCAAGGGTTAAAGCTAATAAGGGCACAACACAGAATTTTGGAAGTATGTAAGCCAGGCTTTGCTGTCTGCATTCAGGCACCTAAAGCCTTAACTGCATTAGTGACCCTCTGCTTTATAGCTGCTCCCAGGTGAGGAGGCAGTTTATACAGAGATGACTTTCTGCCACCCCTCTGCCTGTGTCTGCAGATGAGGAGCCAAAAGGTGTCTCTCGGCACCTCATCTGTAGACACTGATGCCTGAACTAGATTTCAATGCTAGTTTCCCATAAAAACATTACTCTGCTTTTCTGCGTATCTAAAAATGGATTTGCAGTAGTGACAAGCTAGATGTTGGCAAGTACTAACTAAAACTGCATTTGTACATTTAAAGGGGAAGCGTTAATGAATTTTGAGTATAAATTTAAGTTCAGGAGATGAGCTAATGCTCAGGTTGCTGTTCTTCTGCGACAGACTAGTACAGTTGCTAGTGAAGTACAGGGCCAGTAGAAGATGAGGGAGATGCTTACTTCTTGTCACTTCTGTTTGTGATCATTCCCCAGTGCAACAAGAGAAGGGTTACAGCAGCTTACAGGATGAAGCAGTGAAGATCTTCAACTCCCTTCAGGAAATCGAGACAGTGTCTGACCCCATACCCATTATCCAAGGCATTCTGCAGACCTGCCATGATTTAAAGCCCCTTCGTGATGAAGTGTACTGTCAGCTCATCAAACAAACTAATCACATGCCGCATCCCAACAGTACTGGGAACCTGCACCACTGGCAGCTGATGTCATGCATGAGCTGCACTTTTCTGCCCAGTAGAGGGATCCTGCGTTACCTCAAGTTCCACCTTAGAAGGTACGTGTCCTCTTCAATTGCAGCCTGTTTCCTTTCTCTCTGCTTATCTTCCACTGCCTGTTGTAGACCTGTCTCGCCCTCCTCCTGTGCAAACACCTTCCTGTGGTGTTGCAGCCTCCTACCTTTGCGTGCAATTCTTGCCGCCAGCTGCTCTGTTGTATTCAAGCTCCCCTCCCTTGCCACCCATCTGTTGCGTGGAAAGGATGTGGAAAGTAAGGCTGCCCAAACAGAATACTGTGAAACTGTGTTAAAAGTGGATTTACAGCCAATCAATTAGTGCTTACATTCTCAACTTGCAGGAACGGTGAGGCCCATACTTTCATATTCATTGAAATATGTACTGCCCTGCAGCTGCCACAGTCCAAATGTGTACTGTGGAATAGTGGATATACTGTAAATCCAATTTATAATGTTTCAAGATTTGTTTGCTTAACTAAGCACATAACGTTTACAATTTGTATTTCTAATCTGCTTTAGCCTCCAGTTTTCATGAACTACATAATTTACATTTCTTCCCAATTCATGTTCAGGACCTAACGCAGCTTTCCAAAGCAGTCTGCGTTGGGGCTGAGCTGCAGCCATGTAGTCTCACTCTATTCTTTAATGATGAGAAAGATCAATAAAATCTATTTGATTCCTTCC